GAACAAAATATGCTTCATGAGAACAACAAAAAATTTGTGTACATCAAAACATAAAAAATTTGGGAAGGTAACCCACAGAATGGAAAGAAAAACATTGTTTAATAAAGGGTTAATGTCCCAAGTATATAGGGAACTTACAGAGCTCAACAACAAAACAAATGACTTACCAGATTCAAAATGAGCAATGGTCCTGAATAGACATTTTCCCAAAGGAAACATGAAGATGATCAATAAGAAAATGTAAAGAAGATCAGCATCACTAAACATTTGGAGAGTGCATCAGAACAACTTATTCCACCTCAAACCTTCAAGAGTATCTATAGTCAAGTATCAGAAAATACCAAGTATTGTGGTAAGGATGTAAAGTAACCAGAACACATTTGTGGAAAATAGTATGAAAGCTCATCAAAATATTAAAAATAGAATTACCTTAGATACAGATAGCCACTTTTGGACATATACCCTAAAGAATTGACAAGAGGGTATCAAGAGATATTGTATACCCATATTAATAGAAGCATTGTTAGCAAGAGCTGACATGTGGAAGCAAACCAGGTGTTCACTGACTGATGCAGAATATGTTATATACTCATGGAATACTGTTCAGCCATCAAAAAGAAAATTCTAAAGTATGCTGCCACATGGATAAAACTTGAGGACATTATGCTAAATGAAATAAGCCAATCACAAAAAGATACTCTGTATCATCCATCACTTAATGTACTTAGAATAGTGAAAGTCAAAGAGATAGAAGATATAATGGTGGTTTCCAGTGGCTGAGGGATAGGAAAATGGGGGTAAGGTTTATTATTTTTGGTGGTTGAGTTTCAATTTTATAAGATGAAAAGATTTCTGAACATAGGTGGTAATGAAGGTTTTACAGTAGGAATTTGTTATTACTACTGAGCTGTACACTTAATGTGGTTAGAAAATAAATTTTATGTTACATGTAGTTAATCATAATGAAGAAATTGAAAAAGAAATGAGCTACGAAGTCATGAAAAAGTATGAAGGAAACTTAAATGTATGTTACTAACTGAAAGAAGTTAATATGAAAAACCTGCATACTGTAACATTCCAACTGAATGACATTATGGAAAGGCAAAACTATGGAGGCAGTAAAAAGATTAGTGGTAGCTGGGGGCTAGAAAGGGGCGGGAATAAATAGAAAGTTCAAAAGACTTAGGGCAGTGAAACTGCCCTGTACAGTGCTATGTTGTGACAGTAGTGTTGTCAAAACTCACAGTAGAACACCAAGAATGACTCCTAATGGAAACTATGGACTTTGAGTGATGATGATGTATTGTATAGGTTCATCATTTGTAACATATGTACCATCTGGTGCTGGATATTGATAGTGGGCAAGTTTATGTTGTGGAGAAGTGGGAGGCTACAAAGTGGGTATTTGTTATGCTCTGCATTTTCTGCTAAATTTTTTTGAGAATCTAAAATAGTTTAATTTTAAAAATATGAAAGCAAAAGTAAAGATTTGTGTGTTTAAAGATTTTTTCTCTTATTTTCCAAATGTAAACTCAAAATTTATTAAATCAAGAATCATTTTACTTACATGCAAATGTTATAAATAGTAATCACAAATCCCTAACACAATCTACAAAAGCCTCATTTTACTCACTTTGAGACTGAAATGATAGCTCTTTTCTGTCAAGAATATTGTAACATTGATATTTGAAAAAGATGTATATATCTTTTCTATTTATCCTGAATGATAGTGCATAAAGAAATACACGTGTTATTGCAGGAGGAAAAGATGTTATTTCTGTAGTCTTTGATTACTTGTAAACACTCAGAGATTGATAGCACTGTTTCTTTACCATGCGTTTTCCACTTCAAATAATTAACTTACATTTTTTGATAAATCTTTCAGTCATACTATCCAGATAAGGAGATTTAGTGGGATGAAAACAGAAAGAATTAAAGAAGAAAGGGAAGAAGAAAAAAGAAGAGAGAGCATGTCCTTTCCTGAAGTGGATTTATGAAAGAGAAGGCAAAAAGAAGGAAGTAGTTCTATCAATTAACATAGGGTAATAATCCACTGGAGAAAACATAACTGCTTCACATTTGCTAATTACTGAGCATTAGAAGAAAGAAGAAAGATGAGGTTATAGTCAGCATTTGATTCCACCTAATCCTGAAAAGGAAGCAGATAATATTTAAGTTGAGTTGTTTTTCCAACAATACTAGTTATCACTAATTTAGGATAGCTTGCTTAAGCTCCTGAGTGGTAGAGTAGAAAGAGTAGAGGATTGCTAAATTGATTAGGATGGCTCCGGAAATACACTGAATGAGTAGTCTGGAGACTTTCACTATAGATGAATATGTATATATTTATGTATATGTGTATGTTTTGTATGTGTAATTTTCCATGTTGAACTTTTTACATTATCATTGTGCTATTAAAATAGTATAAAGTTTTGGTCAGTGATAAACTAAGTATTGACTATGGAATATGTTACTTGGGTAAAATCAAATTTATAGTACCAATGTTTTACTTAATCTTGAGAAGCAAAATATTTTAAGGTTATAATTACTATTTACATTTTTCTTTTGGTAAAATTATATGAATTCATGAAATTCATAGGAAAAATTGATATTTATAAGGGATAAATTTGTAGTGCAAGTGGAAAATTGTCTCTTGTATTAGGAGCTTCAGTCTTTATTTTTAGGAAAGAATAGCTAATGATGTTCTGGATTCTACTTCTAAAAAAGTTTTTTGTCAATAATTTATTTTTTGTGTCATATTTCTTTCTTTCCTTTTTATTAAAAAATTTTTATAAAAGCAATTTTTTATTAAAGCAATTGAAAGAAGTTTCTTTGTTCTATTTCATATAAGTATATGAGGTCCATCAACCAAATACCCTCACCATAATCTTTTTTTTTCTTTTTCTTTTATTATTCATATGTGCATACAAGGCTTGGTTCATTTCTCCCCCCTGCCCCCACCCCCTCCCTTACCACCCACTCCGCCCCCTCCCTCTCCCCCCACCCCAATACCCAGCAGAAACTATTTTGCCCTTATTTCTAATTTTGTTGTAGAGAGAGTATAAGCAATAACAGGAAGGGACAAGGGTTTTTGCTGGTTGAGATAAGGATAGCTATACAGGGCTATCCTCCCTCTCCCCCCACCCCAATACCCAGCAGAAACTATTTTGCCCTTATTTCTAATTTTGTTGTAGAGAGAGTATAAGCAATAACAGGAAGGGACAAGGGTTTTTGCTGGTTGAGATAAGGATAGCTATAAAGGACATTGACTCACATTGATTTCCTGTGCGTGTGTGTTACCTTCTAGGTTAATTCTTTTTGATCTAACCTTTTCTCTAGTACCTATTCCCCTTTTCCTATTGACCTCAGTTGCTTTTAAGGCATCTGCTTTTCTCCCTCATATGTGGACATTAGATCAAGGGCAAACACAACAAGGGGATTGGACTATGAGCACATGATAAAAGCGAGAGCACACAAGGGAGGGGTGAGGATAGGTAAGACACCTAAAAAACTAGCTAGCATTTGTTGCCCTTAACGCAGAGAAACTAAAGCAGATACCTCACCATAATCTTCTTCATTCACCCTTCCCCCTCCCTCTAGTACCCCCACACACTGTTTACAGTCCTGTCTTTCATTATTAGTATTTAAGTTGATGTTCAAAGGAGTTTCTCTATGTATTCCTGCTGTTGGGTATATATTATTTTGGGGTGTTCAACCCCCTTCACTACTCTTCCTTACCCCTTTACCTCCCCAACCCCCTTTTTCAATACACATCCTTATATCCTCTACCTTCACAGATTTATGTTTTATATTACTGATATTCTATAATTTTTTCTTTTCCCTCTTTCCCCGCGTTCCATAGAGTAGTTCCACTATTACTAACATATTCTACATATGAGTTTGTATATGTAGATCATGCTTGGTTTGTGAATAATTTATTTTTGAATGCCATTCATTATATAACTATATGGTGTAATACTCTGCAGATACGCATTTTTCCTTAGTACAGTTTTCTGCAATGAGGCATTTTCAATGTGATCATATATTTGCAGATAGCCTATGATTTCTTCTCTTCGGTATCTTAGAAGAATTTAGAGTTTACACATGGATTCATGGAATTATTTGAGCTAAGAGGAACCCTGTGGAAAATCTCATCCAAAAGCTGTATTGTAGATGCAAGAAACAGAGGCCCAAGTTTAAATGTCTGACTCCAACTCAGTCTCTGCCAGGTGCAGAGCTGGGTCTCATTTCTTACCTAGTGGCAGCCTTTGGACTGTTGCTGCACTCATCATCTGCATTTCTAGAGTTGTTTACTTTAACCTTTTCTCTCCTGCCACATAATCAATTTTTACTCAGATATAAGCTAGTTTCCTGCTTTCTTCTGTCCCCTGCTTACAATGAGCAACATTGCTAACCCAGGTTGTATATCTGTTTTACATACTTCACATAGTTTTGTGAGAATTAACAGCAAATGTAAAACCACATAGCTCAATGGAAGAGGTCACTGGTCCTCCCAACATTGATCTATAATGTCTAAAATTTGAATTTGCTGCCTTGAATGAATTGACAATATTTTTATTTTGGTACATTTCACAGAAAAATGTGGATGCTTTCACAGCTCCCCAGCTGTTCTGGGGAGTTCCATCAATCTGGTAGCATGGGGTGATTTTTCTCCAGTGGTAATAAAACTGTTTAGAGAGGCTATGCACTTTCTCTTTCAGTACAGTTCCCATCATTCCTTACAGGTTTCCCAACCTATGGCAAAGACATTTGTCATTCATTGTTTTCTGTTCTCTTGCTTCTCTAATTTAAATTACCTGCTTTGATTTACATACATTGGGGATTTCAACTACTCTTCTCTGAAAATCTAAGTTAAGATTAATAGTACTCATAAAATTTTTTCAGAGGATAAATGTAAGGATTGAAGAAGACATGTAAAATGATGAAGAAGTTTTATCAAGCAGTAAAATGACTGACATTTTTTCAAATTTGTTTTTAAGGCAAATATGTCCCGGATAAGGCAAGTGGGATTACTGGCTGCTGGATGTCAGCCATGGAACAAAGATGTGTGTGCTGCCAGTGGAGACAGATTTGCATACTGTGCAACTCTGGCTATCTATATTTATCAGGTAAAGTAATACTAATTGTTTATTTTTATTATAATAGACATTAATATTTATTATAAGTCAATGTCACATAGAAAACATAATACAATAATTGATATTTGTATAATCTATTTTTGCTATTTATACTATATTGGAGTTTTAAAACTTAGAAAATGTTTGTATCATACTATTAAATTATTTGTAAATTTGATGAGAAAATTCTCTTCTCGGTTGAAGAATCTAGATAGTCTGTTAGGAATTGTTATTAATACAGCTATATTTTGAGGTATTCTTGGGAGAAAAAAGCATAACTACCATTTTTTTGGGTTTTTTTTAACATTTTGGCGCCATTCAGCAATCTCTTACTAGTTCCCAATCTATAGAGCTAGTGACCTTCTAACTTTCTCCATATAGATGAGCCACAGACTTCTTAAATGCAAGTCCAGTTTTTCTCCCTAAGACCAGAGTCAAAAACTCAAGTGTCACCAGCTAACTTTTCATATAAATCCAAAATGTGTTAGCCATATTTGACTTACTCTTCTATTCACATTCCACTCATATAGTAACCTAAAGGGATTCTAGTTTTTGTATTTTTTACCGTCATCTATATATATTAACCTGAATTGTTAAAAACATTCTCTTAATAGTCTCTACTTTTAATATGGCTCCCTGTGATTTATCCTTCAGTGTGCTCAGTGTATCTATAATGCAAATCTAAATTGTATTATCTCTTCTATTGCTATTCATTCCATAATATTAACATCTAAACCTCACAGTAGGTCTTTTGTGATCATCCTGCCTGTTTTTCTCTTTTATTGTGTTTCAGACACAGCAAACAATTTTCATTCTCTGAAACATCTCAGATTCTTATTATGTCTTGCCTTTACATTCATTAATTTTTTGGTTTGCCTACATTACATGTCTGGAGAACATTTTCTCATCTTTCAAATTTCAGCTGAAGTATATAAACTTTTCCATATTCTGTTCTTTTCTTTTTCTTATTATAGAGAAGCTCATTAAGATGAACTATTTCTCTAAATCCTTCCATTTATTGAAATGAGTCTTCCTCATTTTTGAATTTTTAAAGTTTTGTGCACTCTCTGGCACTTAGTAGACATTCATTAAATGTCTTGAATGAATGAGAGTTTTTAAAAATCTTGAAACATTGACTCATTTTAGTTTAGAATAAAAAATTTTATTCTGAAGTTAAAAAAATACACACACACACACACATATACCACGTAGTGGTACTGGGGTTTGAACTCGGTTTCACACTTGCTAGGCAGGCACTCTGACGTGAGCCATGCCTCCAGCCCTTTTTGCTCTGGTTATTTTGGAGATAAAGTATTGTTTTTTTACCAAGGCTGGTTTAGACCACAGTATGCCTATTTTATGTTTCCTGCCATCATTGGGATGACATGCTCAGCTTTTTTCCCATTGAGATGGTGTCCCACAAATTTTTTTGCCTGAGCTGGCCTTGAACCATGATCCTTCTGATCTCTCCCTCCCAAGCAGCTAGTATTACAAGTGTGAGCCACAAATGGCCAGCTTATATGCTTTTTCATTACTACACATTAGTTCATTAATAATGATGCTATAGATTATTGAAAATTAAAGAATTAATAGCATTAGTCTATAAAATATTTTATTTTCCATAATGTTGAATAAGATTTTATGTAGTACATTCATCAAGACTGCCACTATCTAGCAATGAAAGGGTATTTCACTTTAACTTATGTTCTTCCATTTCTTGTCCCTCCCATACATATAACAGCAGCAAGCTTTGTAAACGACTCCTTTTTGTCCTATTTATACCACACATTTACTCCCAAGCTTCTCACTCCCAAATTCTCCTATAAAGTTTCTCCACTAGTCTTTAAGTCCCTATCTTCCTTTTGTTCCTTTCTTCCCAAACAAGAGGAATTTATAGGCAAGTCAAACTATTCCTTTCAAGTAAAAATGGTAAGAAATTGATTTGATGAAGGCATATCTAATTCTTTGTTTGTATTTGAAATTTTATGACATTTAGGAAGAATAAGCTGGTACTGCAAACATAAAAGGCCTGTATTTGCATATTATTAAAAATTGAAACAAAATACTAGATGATGACATTAACGTTAATTAAACTATACTAATAAATTTTTTAAATATGATCATCTAACTTAAAGTGCTCTGAAAATTGTCACACAAATAGAAAATGTTACAATTATTTTCAGAGGAAATAGTAGCATCTGATACCAGTCTACACTGCACAGTCATTCTGATTTTGGGTCACATTCTAAATAGTGACAGTTGGTGTATTATCAGAGTCTCTGTACTGTTCAATGATATTTGTACATGGCATTAGAATTTTTATTTAATCATTTAATTTTACAGCACAATATATTGTATTAAATTTTTCTGAGAGTAATTTACTTAACACTATAGTCTCATGTACTGAATTATAAATACAATAGGAATCATTAATAAATTAGTCCCTACAAATAGTTCAGTATTTCATAGTGTGCTTACAGATAGGTACCACATGGATAATTTGTTCTGTGAAGTCAATTATGGTTGCTGATGCACAATATAGATTTTCCTACATTCTTTGTATTCATCAGTTCTAGTGAATTTCTATCACATGTCACAGGCTTTTCTAATAGATGTATTGAGTACATTCACAGTGTATACCACAGGTAACTTAAACTGCTGAATAATTTTAAATTTGAAAGACTTTATTTCTAAATACACAGAAAACATAATTACATATTTGAATAGGCCAACTTAAAACTATTATTGCTACAATGCTAATCAGATAAAAACACAATGTTACTAGATTATCTTTAATAAGGTTTTAATCAAAGTTGTCCAATACGTAACTGAAGCTATAGAAGACTGAAGAGGAAACGTTAGGAAATAATTAGAACATTAGTCCAAATTTTATGTGCAGAGATGTTCACTGCAGCACTATTTGTGATAGGAAAAATTAGAAATTACTTAAGGCTAAACAATAACATAAGGGGTTGTCCTTTTGATATCTTTGAATCTCTTCTATTGATCAAGAATTACTTGACACTAGAAATGCAGCTATGAACAAAGTAGGCAAATTTTCTTTGGAATCTATATTCTTCAAAAGAACAGGGGATATAAGTGAATGAACGCTTCAGGAAGTATGACAAAGACTATAACACAGGTAACAAAAGAGTTATGAGATAGGTTTTTGGGAGAATTGTATCAGGGTCTGAAAATATCCCTTCAAAGAGGGGCTTTTGAACTGAAATCTGAACAAGTGAATCAATAACCTTGAGCAAGTCAGCGGGAAGAGTGTTACAGGCCACAGGAAAAGCAGGCATAAGGCTTTAATGTGGAAGTGAGTTTGCCTGATCAGAGAGACAAGAAGTTCAGAATGAACTAGAAAGAACTTGTTATCAAGTTAGCTTGGCAAGATGGCAGAGGTATGAGCCTCATAATTATGGAGGAAACTGAAGGCTCTGTTAGCAGTGAGGACTTCACTGCAAGCATATGGTTAAAGAAGGTTGATATAATACTTTTATTATTATTATATATATTTACTATATTATATACAGTTATATTACTTATGTAATCATTATACTAATGTTTTAAAGATTTTCAGCACCATGGCAAAAGGTTCATTATATGTTAAAGGAAAAAGATCATCCAAAACATGATAAAATGATAGAGAAATTAATTAATACACTAATTAATGGAGGCACATTTACAAATGAAATTGGAAAAAATAGGCTATTTAGTTCACCCACTTACTATTAAGCACAACTTAATATTCATCTGAAAAACAGTTATAGATCTGTGACTGATTGATCTGGGTCAGTGATACAATTGCTCTGGAAGTATAGAATGTCTAAAGGAGCAGTTGCCTAAATTTTTATTTGCTTAAATGTTTTATTGAAATGAAAGTGAAAAATTATAGAAAAATTCCAAAAGCAAAAGTTTTTTAATCCTTTATAAATAGATATATCTTGTGGAAATTTAATAAAGCTTTGGAATATGTATATTTAAATGTAAAATATTCATTTTACCAATATTAATAGATGTTTTATATCAGTTCTGTCATTTTTCTCTGAAATGATTTCTTTCAACTGACCAAATATACTTGAACATATTGAATGTAAAGCAAGACTTGAAATGTGTTCATATCTTTGTTATTAGGTGAACTGATTTTCATACATTGTAGCTTTTGTTTTGTATAATGTGACTTTTTAAATTAATTTTGTATGTGATTATTAATGAGTAACATATTGTCTAAAAAGAGCACTAAAATGTTTTATTTATATATTTTGTTTTAGTTGGATCACCGTTATAATGAATTCAAACTTCATGCAATTATGTCTGAACATAAAAAGACAATCACAGCAATCTCTTGGTGTCCACACAATCCTGATCTATTTGCAAGTGGCAGTACTGATAACTTAGTGATCATTTGGAATGTCGCAGAACAAAAAGTCATTGCTAAACTCGACAATACAAAAGGTATATTTATAACTGAAATTTATTATATCGAATAAAACATTTTTATTTCAATAAGCACATTAGTCTTATTAGTTCAGGTTTCAAAGTAGTATTTTAAAGCTTTCTAATTGTGACCTATGTAAGATATGCACTTCACATTACACAAAACATATTATAGTTAATAATATAACCATAATAATAAACCATAGTCAATACCAAATAATTTCATTAATGTTTAAATAAGTTTTGAAAATAAATATAAAAGCATATCTAGTAACATCGTTATGAATTCATAGGTAATTATCTTTAAATTTTCTTTCATCTTAATAATAAGGCATTTTGCAACTCTTAGATATATTTAGCGTACATAGTATTTGCTTTGTCCTTGACTTCAAATTTAGGTCATTTAAGGATGCTAAAAATATCAGTAAAACATATCAATTATGTTAGTCAACTGTTAAAATATTTTCCAAGTGAGGTTAATTTTCACCAAGAACAGTGAATTTCATCCCCAAGTTCATATAACCTGTATTTTTAGTTTCACTTACAATAACTAATGTATTAGATAGTCAAAAATGATTGTGCCAATCTCTGAGAAAACCACTTTTTAAAGTCAACTATTAAGTTTCCATTAATGTCATTAATGTTTTTTCCTAAGGTTTTCAATGCTTCAATGAGAAAAACTCAAATTACTTTTGGCACTAGGTTTCATAATATATAAACAGAGACTGGTAGTCTTAAGATTATTCCTATCTTTCCCATGTTTTCTGATTATATCTGTTTCTCTGCCAATCAAAAATCCTACACATTATTCCAGTACCATTTATATTGATCAACAATGCATTTTACCAGTACTTTAAGTGTAGTTTTAAATGAGTTCTATCTTAAGTCTCACAAGAAACTCTCCTTAAAATTCATTTCACATTTTATTTTTTTTCAGCACAACATATTTTTAATTTATTCTTACTGAGGTATAACAAAATGCTGTAAATTCAGAAATGTTGTTTGTAAGTCGTACAGCTCAGTAGTAATATGTGTGGTACACACACATGCATGCACATGCATACACATGCTCCCATGTAACCAGTACTCGCGTGAAGATATAGAGCAAGTGAGGGTTGCAAGCTTTTTCTGTAAAAGACCTGGTGGACTAGCCAGTTTTTAAATGAAAAGGTATGGCTATATTTAGCCCACAGGCCGTAGTTTGCCAAGCCTTAACACAGAATATTTCTAACATTCCAGGAGTCTCCCTCCTGTCCCTTCCAAAAAGATAACTGCTACTCTCACTTCTGTCACCATAGTTTAGTTTTGCCTGTTAATGTTTGCTTTGTGCAGTTTCATATATGTTCAGCTTTATAATTTAAAACGTTTTTTTTTAATGAGACCAGGGTTTTAAATTGGGGCTTCATTACAAAGCAGGCACTTTACTGCTTAAGTCACACCTCCAGTCCATTTTTCGTTGGCTATTTTGGAGATGCATCTGGGCTGGCCTCAAGCCATGATCCTCCCAATCTTGACCTCCCAAGATGCTAAAATTATAGACATGAGCCACCAGTGCCCAGCTTACTAAAAAGTCTTAGTAATAGAACTGTACTGTTTTAGAGCCAGAGGTTTTTTTTCTTTATCTTTGGATTTAAGCATTTTGAGTGTAATTGTGACTTAAATGTGGATTTCTGCACTTATCCCTCTGGGAATTTGTTGTTGATTATTTTTCATCCAATTTATGGACATTTTCAGCTATCTTAATTCTTAAGATATTTTTTTCTGTCCCCGTCCTATCCTCTCCTCTGGCACTTCCCTCGTGCATGTTGGTGCTTGTAATGGATCTCACATTTCTCTGAGGCTCTGCTCACTGCTCTTCATTCTTTATTCTGTTTTTCAGATTTTATCATTTCTGTTTTTCTGTCTTTAAGCTCACTGATTTTTTTTTTCTTCTTCAAGCCCAAATCTAGTCTTGAACACCTCTAGTGAATTTTTTCATTTATTAGCGTACTTTTTAAATGCAGAATTTCATTTGATTCTTTTTATACTTTCTCTTTGCCAGCATTGTTTGGTAATTGTTATCCTACCTCCCTTCTTTTTATCCAGTTGATCCAGCCTTACTTTTAAATAACTACTTTCCCCACTGAATTGCTGCAGCATCATTATCATAAATAAGGTCCATATATAGGTGCCTCTGTTTGTAGCCCACTGGTCTGTGTATTTATCTTTGTATCAATGCTACACTATTACAATTGTAGCTTTATGTCAGCTACTAGTAAGTTGTATTATTTGGTAGTATTAGGGCTCCAATTTTGTTCTACTTTAAAATTGATTTAGCTAGCTTGACCCTTCATATTTCCATGTTTTAGAATCAGCTTTGCAGTTTTATTTTCTTCTTTCTTTTATTTTATCATTTTTACATTTACTTACATGTGTATACATTGTTTGGGCACTACCACCCTCCTCCCATCCCCCCAACCTCCCCCACCCAACCCCCACTTCTGGGCAGAACCTGTTCTGCCCTCTTCTTCTCCAGTTTTGTTGAAAACATAGGAGATGATGAGAAAGACAGCATTTTTGCTAGTTTGAGATAAAGATAGCTATACAGATAGATACCTAGCATTGCTTCCATGCACTTGTGTATTGCAACCCACATTGGTTTATCCCTACCAGACCTCTTCGCTACTTCCTGGTCCCCTTCCCATAGTGGCCTCTGCCAGTTTAAAATTACTATATTCATTCCTCTTCAGTGAGCACACAAACCACATTCAAGTTTTAGGTTTCCTTACCTTTCCCTATTCCTCCTGTGTACATTCTCCCCTTAGTGTGTGACCCATGTCCAGTAATATTATTGCATTTGTTTTAGGTCTAAAGTCCGCATATGAGGGAGAACATATGATTTGTGGCTTTCTGAGCCTGGCTAACTTCACATAAGATGATGTTCTCCTGTTCCATCCATTTATCTGCGAATGACAAGATTTCATTCTTCTTTGTGGTTAAGTAAAATTCCATTGTGTATAAATGCCACATTTTCTTAATCCATTCATCAGTAGTGAGGAATCTTGGCTGTTTCTATAGCTTGGCTATTGTGAATAGTGCTGCAATAAATATGGGTGTGCAGGTGCCTTTGTAATAACCTTAGTTGCATTCCTTCAGGTATATCACTAGGAGTGGTATTGCTGGATCATATGACAGATCTATGTTTAGTTTTTTAAGAAGCCTCTATATTGTTTTCCATAGTGGTTGTACTAGCTTACGTTCCCACCAGCAGTGTATGAGGGTCCATTTCTCCCACACCCTCGCCAGCATTTGTTGGTGGTGGTGTTCCTGATGCTAGGTATTCTAACAGGAGTGATATGGAATCTAAGTGTGGATTTGGTTTGAATTTCCTTTAAGGCCAGGGATGGTGAGCATTTTTTTTTGTTGTTTTTTAGCCATTTGGACTTCTTCCTTTGAAAAAGTTCTGTGTAGTTCAGTTGCCCACTTCTTTATTGGTGCGTTGATTTTTGAGGAATTTAGTTTTTGGAGCGCCTTGCATATTCTGGTTATTAGTCCTTTGATGTATAACTACAAATTTTTTCACCCACTCTGTGGGTGGTCTCTTCAATTTAGAGACCATTTCTTTTATTGCACAAAAACTTTAATTTCATGTAGTCCCATTTGTCCATCTTTTCTCTTAGTTACTGGCCTGCTGGAGTTCTACTGAGGAAGTCCTTGCCTATACCTATTGCTTCCAGAGTATTCCCTGCTCTTTCCTGTACTAACTGCAAGTCTTGGGGTCTGATATTAAGGTCCTTAACCCACTTTGAGTTGATGCTAGTACAGGGTGATAGGTATGAATCTTTTTTCAGTTTTCTACAGGCAGATAACCACTTTTCCCACCAATATTTGTTGAAGAGGCTGTCTTTTCTCCATCATATGTTTTTGGCACCTTTGTCAAAAATAAGGTGGGTGTAGTTGTGTGGATTCATATCCGGGTCCTCTGTTGTGTTCCACTAGTCTTCATGTCTGTTTTGTGTCAGTACCATGCTGCTTTTAATGCTATTGCTTTATAGTATAATTTGAAGTTGGTTATTGTGATACCTCCAGCGTTGCTGTTTTTGCTCAATATTGCCTTGGCTATTCACGGTCTTTTGTGTTTCCAAATGAACTTTAGGGTAGATTTTTCAGTCTCTGTGATGAATGTCATTGTGATTTTTATGGGAATTACATTGAACATGTAGATTGCTTTTGGAACTATAGCCAGTTTTACTGTGCTGATTCTGCCAGTCCACGAGCATGGGAGTTCTTTCCATCTTCTATAGTCTTCTTCGATCTCTGTCTTTAGTGATTTGTAGTTGTCCTTGTAGAGGAAAAATTGCTAAAGCTGTTTATGATGTCTAGGAGTTTTTGGGTGGAGTTTTTTTGGGTCTTTGCGGTATAGGATCATAGGGATACTTTGACTCTTTCTTTACCTATTTGTATTCCTTTTATTTCTTCTTCTTGCCTCTTTGCTCTGGCTAGGAATTCCAGTACTATGTTGAATAGGAGTGGGGAGAGTGGGCATCCTTGTCTCATTCCTGACTTTAGGGGAAATGGTTTCAGTTTTTCCCCATTAAGTATGATATTGTCTATAGGTTTGTCATAGATAGCCTTTATAATGTTGAGGTACTTCTATTCCTAGTTTTCTTAGAGCTTTTATCATGAAGTGGTGTTGAATCTATTGAGATGTATCTCTTGAGATGATCAAGTGGTTTTTGTCTTTGTGCTGTATTACATTTATTGATTTGCGTATGTTGAATCATCCCTGCATCCCTGGGATGAAGCCAACTTAGTAATGGTGAATGATCTTTCTGATATGTTGTTGGATTCAGTTTGCCAGGATTTTTGCTTCAATGTTCATTGAGGACATTGACCTTTCATTCTCCTTTTTGGATGTGTCCTTGTCTGGTTTTGGGATGAATGTAATGCTAGCTTCATAGAATGAGTCCGGCAGTGTTTTTTTCCTTAAGCATTTCATGGAAAATCTTAAGGAGTGTTGGTATTAGTTCTTCTTTGAA